TTATGGAAACTTGTTTCACGACTTGGTACATGTCCTGTGTACCCTTCAAAAGGGATGCGCGTTCTGTTTCAGGGCAGAGTAGCCCACAAATGCCAGTTAGGTCCCGCTGGCCATTCGAGTTTCCACATCCCTCGTTGTTGTCCGTCTGCTGTTTCTGCCAGTCACTGAGAGAGGGATACTGAAATGCCCAGCTATAATTTTGGATTTGCCTCTTTTTCCTTTCAGTTTTATCCATTTCTGCTTCACGTACTCTGATTCTGCTATCAGATGCACACACATCTAGGATTACTACATCTTCTTGATGAACTAACCGCTTTCTTATTATGCATTTACAGTGTTCATCCATTTTGGAGAGTACACCCTGACTGGTAAGGCTCCGTTGGTTGGTCATTGTCTGCAAAGTGAAAGATCGCTGGTTCGATTCCCACTCAGGGCACATGCCTGGGTTGCAGGTTCAGTTCCTGGTTGGGGCACAAACCAGAGGCAACTGATGGATGTTTCTCTCTCACATTGATGTTTTTCTCCCTCTCTCTCCCTCCCTTCCCCTCTCTCTACAAATAAATAAGCAAAATCTTTTTTAAAATTTGGGGCTTATTTAACCACGATCTCTGCAAATATCTTTTCTTTACTCCCCCTTGGGCTCCAACAACACGTGTGGTAGGCTTGGTATTGCCCTACGACCTTTCTCTGTTTCATTCTGCAGTGTCTTTTACGTTTTTCTCCCTGATCTTCTCTTCTGTAGCTTTTCCACATAATGCATATTTCATTTCCAGATGTTACGTGTGTGCCTTTTCTTGTACTGTCCATTTCTCTGCTCATTATGACCATACTTGTCTCAACCTCCTTAAACAGTGGGAGTACACTGATGACAGTTGTTTTAATGCCATTATCTCCTTATTCTATCATCTGTGTCTTTCTGGGTTTTGTGTTTCACTGACATTCATCCTGGCTGTGGGAGGTATTTTCTTGCTTATTGGTATGCCTGTTAACATTGACCGCATGCCATATGTTGTGAATGTTACATTGTTAGGGACTGGGTTATTAATAATGATATTCCTTTAAATATTGTTGCTCTTTTCCCGGGATGCAGTTAAGTTGCCTGGAATCACCTGATCCTTCAGGTGATCCTGAGGATCAGGAATCACCTGAGCACTTGTTTAAGTGCTGCAGGGCGAGCAGAGAACGGACAGCCTTCCGAGGAAGGGCCCTTCAACCAGGAGGGCCCCCCCGCCCCGTGCTCCCCGTCTACCAGAAGAGAACACACGCCAGGCACGGCGCTGGGCTCCAGGAATCGCCCCCCGCTCCTTTGTGGTGGTCCTCCCCCTGCCTCCGGAGTCTCCTCCAATGCACGTGCAGACCAGTAAGCAGCCAAGGACTCGAGGCCCCTCCACAGATCTTGGAATTCTTCCTCCGTGTGTCTTACAGCTCTCCAGCCAGCATTCTGCTCAGCAAAGTCTAGGTGCCTCAGCCTTCCCAAGGGTCCACATCCGTCTCTTCAATGCAGGAGGAGCAGCAGCAGTGGTGGCGCCGCCCCCCCCCCACCCCCCCAGCACACACACACACTGTGGCTTGGAGACCCCGAGCCGGGGCACTGGAGGGTGTGCTTCGTCTGTTTCCCTTCTTTCGGGGACACTGTCTGTCCTGTGCAGCATGTAGTTCAACGTCTGAAAATCAGCGTTTCTTACATTTTCTGGTTTTCCAGTTTTTAGAGCAGGAGGACAGCTGGTTGTAACTGTTATCATGGTCTGCAGTTCAAGTTCCCATCGCTTATTTTGTTGTCAATTCTCACATGTTATGGCCTGTTTGTTTGTTTTTCCTCCTAAGTCACTCATTTCCCTCAGCAGATCGTAAGCTTATAGAGGCTTTAGGGAGCGGGTCTGGTTTATACGCAGGATCCTGTACACAGCAGGCTCCACAGAAGCCACATGAACACAGAGCAGGCAGGCCGAGGCTGAGACAGGAGGTGAAATGTAAAGGTTCCACTTGAGCTGAGTTTCTCCAACTGTGAACCGTGTTTATCTAGTTTATCGCATGCTGCGACTTCCTAGTATTCAGATTCTCCTGTAGGACTAAAAGTGACAGAAACCTCCTTGCTGACCTCCTTGTCTCCACGCCTGGCCACCTCCCGTCAGGAATGCCCACTGAAGAATTAAGCACTTGGTCCTAAGCACACTGTGTTAGGCCTCTAAAGCAACAGCCTCATCATTTTCAGTAAAGACTGAGATCTGAATCCTAGGTGTGCAAGCTACTCGCTCTGTGACCTTGGACAAGTTGCTTAACCTCTCTGAGCTTTAGCTTCCTTATAAAATGGGCATATGTAATACCTTCTGCATGCAGAGAGGACCCAGCACATAGTTGGCCCTTTGTCTTCATGAAGATGCTCAGTAACTAATAGCCAGTATTGTAAGCTTCGTTAGGACCCTTCAAGCTACGGTAGAGATCAGGGAAGATGTCCAAAGGTCAGTCTGGGGGGAAATTAGTGGCTACCTGGGAACTACCTTCAAGGTGCAAATTTGAACTGGATGGGCAACTCAGTCTAAAAATTACAAACCACAGGCTGGAAATATCAGACAATTCATCTCCTGGCTGCCTCCAGTTTTAGAGCTCTCTCTGTCTGTGCCTTGGACACAGACAGCCAGTCGTATAAGATGCCTTAAAAAAAGCTGGTAGGAAGAGGGGCCCCTGAGTCGGCAGAAAGGAGAGAATGAATGCCTGTTTGCGGGGGCGGGGGGTGAAGAGAAGATGAGCATAAAAAGCCGTGAGAAAACGAGTGTTCTCTAAGCTCACACGAGATGCTAATGGGATTTTTCAAACTAGTAGGTTTCTTTCTTAATGTGTATTTATCAGAACTTTCAGAACATGTAGGTAAAAGCTCAGAACTTTAAAAAATGAGATTTCAAAGAAAGACCCAAATATTTTAGTGAGTACCTATGAAAGAGTCAAAGAATGTTTAAGTAACAAATATTTTCGAGGTCAAAGGAGCGAAGACTCAGAAACTGCTGGACGACCCCTGCAAGTACAGAGTGGGACATGCAGAACCAGAAGCCGTGGCCATCTGCTCTCTGTCTGGGCCAATGAGTGCAGTGAAAGGACATGAGCTCAGCTGTAGAGGAAGAGGATCCTTCTCACTCTGTAACGTTTATCAAAAGCAGAAACAATTTGCTAAGGGATATCATGGGACTTCTTTCCCTGGAAATCTTCAAAAGCAGACTCAACATCCCCTTCTCCCAGCGCAGCAGCGGCATCGCGCTCCCGAGGCATCGCGCTCCCGAGGCGGCACACCGTGGGGCGTGCAGGATGCTTTGCGGAGCCTCCTCCAGGCCGTGCGGCCACGCGGCCACCAAGGGGCACAGGTGACCAGGGCTGCCAGCTGCTCTCTGAGAACCGACTGCACGTGAGCAGCATGAGGGCGGTCCAGACCTGCTCCGCTCTGGGATTTTGTGGAAAGGGCCCCGTGCGGAGTCCCAGGCTGGGGGTTCCCCGAGGCTGCAGACGTGTGGGAGGGAGGGAGGGCGCGGACTGGTCAGGCGCGCAGGGGCGTGACCAGGTACGCTCACAGTAACGAGGGAAGGATTTTCCCTGTTCGACGACAAACAGAACACTGGATGGGGACAGGTTAAAAAACGTAAGCAACTTGAATTTCTACATTGCCTCTAAAAAGTGAAATCTGCTGAACCTAAAGCTACAAGGATCGGAAGCCCATGACTGCGCTGGCCCTGCCCGAGAGACCTGGGCACCCAGCTCCACGAGCCCACGGCGGCGGCCGTGGAGGAGTCTCTCCTCTTGGGCACGAGCAGGGGCAATGATCTGCTTGGAGAACGAGAAACAGCTGAACTGACTGAATTCTCTGGCTTCTGTGATTTCCTGAAAATCACTATAAGGCTGTCCTACTGAGTAAAATCCTAACTCGTCAACAAACTGCACCCTGGATTCACGGCCTAGAACTCCAGGCAGCAAGAGACCACACGGCAGGTGTACTGGAGGGTGACAGAGTCAGAGCCCGTGGCCCTGGGGTCTTCAGCGAGACCCTGGCATGGCTGACCCTCGAGGAGAAGCCAGGACCAAAGGAGCATCATCACGCCCTGTGCTCTGACGGGAAGCGAGTTCCTCCGTTGCCCTCCCAGGACTTGGCCAAACTTCAACCGTCTCACAGTAATTCCCACATGGAGTGCAGACTCCCTGATGGAGCTCTACCAAAACCGAAAAGCTCCCCAAACAGGGCTTTTGTTGAGCCCTGTGCCCCAGCAGCAGAGTCTGCTTGACCCCCTCCTCATTGTTGAAAGCCACTGCCAAAGCCGTGGTTCCCGGAGCGTGGAGAGCTGGCATGCCTCGGGCGTGCCGGACCGAGACACGGGAGAAGCGGCACTCTCCTCGGACTTCCCACACAGGCTCAGGCAAGGTAAAACAGGGTGCTCAGGGGGACCTTTCTGAAGCTGTGTTTGCATAGCAAAGCTATAACTACATAAAAATACCGAAGTTTTCTGAAAGCGTTATACTTCATCTGAGACTGAGAAAATGTCAACTGTCACCCACAGTGAATATTCTTTTTGCTGCCGTTGTTATTGTCGGGAGTATTGATGGGGACACTGAGAGGTGCCAAAGCCACCTTGGCGGCCAGTGCCTGTGAGGCGCCAGCTCGTGGCTGGCTGGGGTGACAGCATGGTCTGCAGCCCTGGACGCAGCCCCTGTCCGGGCAGCACCAACCGGTCCTCCTCACTGAATAAGCAGCTCCAGCAGTGCCAGTCCTGCAGCCCGGACAGCCCAGATGGGAGCTTAATCGCCTGAAAGAATTAATAGGGCGCCTCTAAGCACATTATGCACCCAGAGAGTGGTTTGGGCAATGGGAAGAATCTGGCTCATTATACCCCACACGATTGCTAAATAATATGCAATCACGGACACGAAGCCTGGCATATGGTGATCTCTCGATGATACTGAGATTGATTGCAGTGGAAGTGCTTGCTGTTCGAAACCCGTCGGCGGGAATCCAAAAGGCCTACCTTTCTTCTCTGGAAGGAACATGACAAGGAGACAAGCCAGTCCTCCGAGGCCCAGGAACGCCGCTAACGTCCGCTTCCGGCCAAACCTGAGTGACAGGAAGCAATGACACATTTCGCTGGAGAATCTTACAGAATCATCTACTCCTCCCACCAGCCTTCCTGATGAAAGGGCCTCTGTTTCTTTACACACGTTCATCTTTCCTGGAGGAGCAGGCGGCCAGTGCGACTGCCCAGGACATGAAATAAACAACCAGCATAAAACGACAGAAAACTGACTGGGTCGCAGGCTTAAATAACATCTGCGGGGGAACCATTCTATCTATCTCTATACACACTGTGGTCCAGGCACGGTTTTAAGTGCTTTCTGCCTAGTATCTTACTCAATCCTAATACTACGCCATAAGGCTTGCACTGTTATATTCGCCATCTCCCAGAGAATGGAATTAAAACATGGAAAACGCAGTCTCGTGGCTAATTTCAATTTCTGGTTACTTGAATCTTAAGCAGTTAAAGCTGTAAACGTTGCCCTTCCTCTCTCCTCAAAAGTACAAACAGAAAAATCTCCTCGTTAACAGGGCAGAATTAACGGAAACATATCGCACCCTTTTTGGGAGAAGCCGGTTTCAAATCAGCGCTCTGGACTTGGAAGAAAGATGCTAATGTTCATAAGCCCCGCCTTTCCAGGGCCCCGCCCCCTGTTAGGTCCTCTCTAGGGACTTTGACGTTTCTTATAATTTTTATGACAACTCTGCCAGGGGCATTTTGTCCTCCCTTGTGTAAGGATGAGTACATGGAGGTCTGGGGAGGTCACTTGTCCAAGTCACAAGGCCAAACACACGGCTGAGACTGGATTTGAACTCGGGTCTCCCTGACCCCGAAGGCAGCATCCCTTCTGTGTGTTCAGACTTTAATCCTGACTCCGGTGGTGGCTGCTGGGAGGCGGGAAGAGCCTTGAGTCTCCAGGTCACTTTGCCTAGTTTAACAGTCAGTGCCAAATGCCTTGCAAATGACAGGCCACATGCAAGGCAGGCACCGGGGATGCAAAGTCAGGTAGGATGCCCTCGTGGACAGGCAGCGTCCTTGTAACACTGTACATGGTCATCAGAGGTGTGCATGGGAAGCCGTATCAGCACAAAGGAGGGGTGTTTGGCACGCTGGGGACGTTGGGGACAGATTTCTGAATACGCTGCCTCACCCAGCTCTTAGACCTCAACGAAAATCAGCTTCGTCACTAACAGAGGGGTCAGCAGAGCGCCACCTCCCGGAGAAAAGCCTTCAGCTGAGCAGAACCCAAGCCCACCCTGCAAAATGTGCTAGCTCAACACCCATGGCCGCAGCATGGAGTGCAAAGCTCAAGGAATGCTGTTTTCGGTTAAAATTATTTCTGGAGAATGAGAAATGGCCCAGTCCAGCTGGTTCCTGGCTCACAATGATGGGATTCTTAGTTGCCCTGGTCGGGGGCTCAGTACCAGGGGGCTCTGAGAAAACGGAGGAAAGGGTGTTCTAAAAAGGAACTTTTCAAAAGCATTTCAAAACTGCATTTGCAGTGAGTAGCAAAACAGGGTATATTCTTCTTCTCAACTACAAATGTCTTTCTAGTTCTTCCAGTTCCTTGTCCTGGACTTCTAGGTGACAGTGATTGGGTCTATGGGGTTCACTTCCACCTGGATAGAGCCAGTAATGGCACCTGCTAAGACTAACAAATTATGCGCACACAACTCACAAACCTTCAGGTAACAATGCCTTTTAATGCTGGATTGCAAACCTACATAAAAACTCATACACAGGAAACCCTAGAAATACTGTACTAAAAAATGAATTCTTACTGTGCTCGGTCTGAGAAGAATTTTGATCACTGTGGCGGCATTAGCGGATACTACACGCAGACAAATACTTAGGTATTTACACATACGAGAGTGCGCACGTGTGGTCTACTTCAACGGCCACCGACACTCACCACTTCTGGTTAATCAGGTAGATGCAGAGAGGGTAGGACGGGATCTCTATGAGGCCAGACAGGGCCAGGTTGGCGTACATGTTCCCACCTAGATCGCCCGCACTCAGGGTCAGGCCGTAATACACCAGGCTGCACACAAACCTGCAATGAGGATGAGAGACAGAGGGCAACAGAAAAAGCACGTAAGCATTTGCTGGAGAAGATTCAAATGCTGGCTTGGTATAACGCGGTCTGTCTCGAGCAAGAGACAGTTTGGCTGTCCCGTGAACAGTTCTATCCTAATCTAAATTTCTACACTAAAAAAAAAACCCCAAAACCCAGTAAATAAAGGGGACTTGGAAATCATTTGTCTAGATGCTAGGTGAAGCAAATTGTTGGCCAGCCCCTGAAAGAGAAAAAAACATTGTTCGTGATTTCATCAAGCATTTCTGCATTTAATAGAAGACAGTGACTCCATTCTTACTCTATTTAACAGGATTTATAGGCCCTTGCCTTAGGCAGTTGTTGTGAGAGCATCAAAATGGCTCTAGAAACGAGCTCCCAAGGAGAAAGTCAGCGGCAGATGGCACTGAGAACAGGAGCTGAGAAGCGACTGGATCGTCAGCAGGTCACCCGCAGGCCAGGAGTGACTGGCGCTCCAGCCCCAACCCTGTTCTCAACCCCATCCAGTGTTCCGCAGGCGCCCATGCTGTGGACACTCAGAACAGGAAAGAAAAGACGGGGTGACGGTGGGGGCCGCCTCCTCCAGGAGGATCAGCGCGGGAAGAGCCCTTTGAAAAGCCATTCCTTCACGTGTGCGCGCCTTTGCCAGAACACCGCGGGAGCGCCTCCTAGTGGCAGGCGCTGTCCCTGGCACTGAGCCTCCCTGCGCTTCCTGGGAACTAAGGGGCGCAGGAGCTGAGCCACAGTGCCGTCCTGAAGCTGCAAGCTGGGGATTCCTCAACCGCAGTGAAGAGAATAACAACAGCAACTTAGGTGTCTAGGAAATGGCATCGTTAACACAAAACAAACTATAACAGAACGAAAATAAATAAACCCCTTAAACTAGGCTTTCTTAGCATGGGAATGCATTTCGTAAACCATACATTTCTACACAAACAGTGAAACGCTTGGGCTTTGGAAGTTCACCAGTTTTTATGTTTTGGCAACTCACTTTGACAAGTGTTTATTATGGGGAAGCTCTTTGTTTGCTTCCTTCTGGTCTTCCTTAGAAACAGCCTAATGAGCTGTGGCTGGGATGAGATCAAAGGGGAAAGGGAAAGCTTCCTTTCCACCTCTGCCAAAACAGCGGGCCAAGCGCCCTGGGTTGTCTGCGGGCCACACTGACCATGAGAGGGTGGGGAGGAGGGACAGGGGAGCCCTGGGGCTGGACTGCCTAGTGCTCTCGCCTCCCGGGCCAAGGAGCTGAGGCAGCAGCTACTTCCCATGGCTTCTTACCAGGGAGAGCAGCCCCTTGGATGTGAAGGGCAAGGAGCAGCGTGGCAGCCAGGACATCACATTACGGATGCAAGGAGCCACTGAGCGCCTGTGTCTCCTGTCCCCCTAGCACCTGCCTGAACGAAGGACACAAGCTGGGAGGTGTGGTGGTTAAGGGAACCTTTAAAAGCCAAACCTGACAACACAGCAGTGGAGCTACTAATTTGAGGTCCTGCCTATGGTAAAGTAAACAAATTCAGACTCATGCAGTTCCCTAAAATATGTTTGAACCCCCCTTCCGCCTGCAGGAGAGACCCTGCTCTTACATAATGCTGTTCCTGATGTGTTGTGGGCTCCCGTCTGTGTCTGCTCTGCATGTAAAATAGAAACCCCAGGGAAGGGACCCCATGGAAGGATGGAGCCCTATTTAGACTGAGTCGTGACGGCGGCAACCAGGGCATGAAGAAACCCTGCCAGTTCAGGATACTAGAGGGACTGAGTCACCAGCTGGTGGCAAGAGAAAAGGGCAAGGAAGGCCTCTGGTCCCAAGTGGGGGTTCAGGGGGGCAAGAGGGACTCTGCTTGCACGCTTCCTTGACAGCAGAACTGGCCATTGGGGTGAGGGACTATAGCGACTAAAGTCACCTCGATCCTCTTTACGGGCCCCAAACAAAATTTAAAACACTTGCATAGTATTTACCAGTAGATTTAGGGCACCCAACAGCCATGGAAAAAGGCGTGGCTGTGGGAAATCAGCACAGGAACGGGTGTTGAACACGGAGGTATCATTTTGCTCCCCAGTCTAGGCTTTCTTCGATGACAGAGATGCAGAACAGGTCTGTGAATGTCACAGCATCCTCATGGGGAACAGCATCTTGTATGTGGCATGACAGTGTCTCTGTCATCGTGTATTTTAAAATTCCGAGCCCAGGGGAAGGAATTTCCTCTGAGAACAGTCCCTTTGGTTGCGTGAGATGTAACATAAGCAGGGACGTTCTCCCTGGCTCTACGTCTAGTTTGTTGGTTGGTGGGTGGGTTCACCTGTTTCTTTAATTCCCTAAAAGCCAGAACCCAAAAGTTGATATGCCTCAAAAAATAAAAAAATCTTAAAAACGAGAGTAAATATTCCCCAACAAATAGGGGCTTCCTCCAAGGCAGGGGGTTTGTCTGTCTATTGAGCATACAAAGGCAGAGTTTTATGAAGCCCAAAGTACCCGAACACACTTCCTAAGTATTTTCGTTACCATAGATGGGATCTCAAATTAGCAGCTCCCGTGCTGTGTGGTCAGGCTGTGCTTTGGAAGGTTCTCTTATTCTCCACGCCTCCAAGCTCATGTCCTTCCTTCCACATGTGCCATGCACCTGTGATGCCCCAGCACTGGGCCGGCCCCAGGAGGGAGGCGGTCGTCGGTGTGACCTGGCCCCTGACCACACAGGCGGTGGCCAGGGCTTGGTGGAGTCAGCAAAGAGAATCATGACATAGGAAAATGTCTCACAGCTTCTTAGTCTCAATCTGCTATTCTTTTGAACTTCATATATCAGATCACTTTCATATAGAGTTACTCCCCTCCACCCCCACGTGAAAATGGAGGTTTCCGTTGCAGACTTCACGGTAAATACAAACAAACCACAGCACAACAGGGGTCCTCTAGGCCGGTGAATCGGATGCTCACGCCCAACACTGGACCAGAGAACATCAAAGGCGCCCTCGCAGAATGCACAGTATTAAAACACATGTGCACCTCACAAACTGTATGCACTGCCCACCCATTTCTCCCCACTCCCCAACTTCGTTCTTTAAAAAGAACCACTCTGAGCCGTCCAGGGTGATCCACATTAGTGCTTAGGGCACCTGAGAGGCAGGCTGGAATGCACTAAACTCGAAAGCAGGTTCGGAGAGTGCTGGTCCATCCATTCGCTGAGCCGCCTGTGTGGTGTTGCGTCAGGTCCCTTCCCGCTCCCAGGATCCCATTTGTCCAGGGGACAGTGACTGGCCGCCCCAGCGAGTAGTGGGGACGCCCCACAACACGCGGGCCCGTTTCCACGCGCGACCCCACCGCTTGATGCCCAGTTCAAAGGTGGGTGTCTGTAACACCCTAGTTAGAAACTCCTGGTTCTGCTCTGCTTGCTTGCTTTATTTATTTATTTTATTTATTTCGGCAGGATGACAAATATTTACATAAAATACGTCCTGAGCAAAGATGGGTTTCTGACGTCTAGTTCGGTAAACTGCCTTCGGGCGCCCTCGTTTCCTCCTTGAGAGGGAGGGCATGCAAACAGAGGCCAGTTTCGGGCCCCAGGGTGTGCAGGGGGGGCACTTATTTCTGTGAGAACAACTTCATGCTGACAATAGGCAACACTTTCTTGTCACCTTGCAGAAGGAAGAGGTCCCCAATAGACCTTCCACGGCAGACCGCCAGAACGCCCCGCAGACATAATTACCAGATGAACATCAGGGTGAGAGTGTGCCTCAGGAGGAGCCGGTGCCGGAACAGGTCCAGGAAACTTCCCATCTCCCTGCGGGCCCTGCTGGCCGGGTGCGTCAGGGAGAACGTGCACTTGAGCTTGCGGTTCCTCTTGGCAATGAGGTACAGAGCCGCTTCTGCCTCGCTCAGGCGACCCTGGGAGTATAACCAACGAGGTGATTCAGGAATGAATCTGAAAGAGATGTCATCAAAGGCTGTATATTCATACAGGTGCACGTGCAGAGGAGGAGACGACCCACCGACCGACCGACGCTGTGTGCGGGGCCCCTGACTCCACGTGGGTCTAGGGTCTACCTCTCAGTGTCGGGGGGCAGAGGGGGGCAGGCTACCGGGCGGCCAGCCAACATAAAATGGTCGTCTGCTCTACAGATGTGAACCAAGACCACGCTTCTGAAATAGCAGCGAGGCTGGCAAACAGCAGGCATTTACTTTTCAGCAGATTTTAGTATATGAACAGCAAGGGAAGTCTCTAGTACTCAACAGAACAAACGTCTCATAAAGCCCAAGTCAGTCATGGCTCCAAGTCACAGCCAGGGGTTGTGAGGATAATGTTATGGAGCTAGTAGTCGTTTTAAGTTCTGGAAAAGTTCCACGAAGAAGATAAACGTCATTATCATCTCATCAGAAAAATAAACTCGTACAAAGTGTTTTTAACATAGTGCTATACAATTAAGAAGGCAGAGATTAGTTTAAGACCACATAAAAATGAAACAGGTTTTATTACAAATTAGTTCCTTTGAGTATTTACTACTTAAAATACTCAAATCAGCTGACACACTGACTTGAATTATAATGTCATGAGGATATTTATTTGAGTCCCCCAAGACCTTAAAAGATAAAAGTTTCTTTCTGGTTACTGTAACCCCTGGTTACAAAACAATAGTTACTTTCTTCTATAGCTACAAAGTACTGAACATTTACGTTGCCACTGGCATCTTCCAACAATTTAAGGATGGACGTTACTTATATTTCTCTTTTCTTCCCACATCTGCAGACACCTTCAGACGACTTTTCATATATACAACTATCGTAGGAACGTGGAAGCCTTATTTACTAAACACAGCCCCCTTTGGACCTGATTTGACATTATTGGCCTAAAACAAAACTTGTAGAAATAACATTGGCTACATAAGGCGCCTTTCCGTAAGGATGGTGAATTGGCAACAAACACTACAGAATGCGGAACCTCCTGGACAGCCGGCCATCGATCACCATTTACTGAACGCCTTCATCTGTGTCCAGCAGTGGAATAGGTACAGAGAGGAAAGGCAATGGAAACAAAAAAGGCAAGAATATCCCTGGCCAGGTAGCTCAGTTGGTTGGAGCATCATCCCTTACACCAAAAGGTTGTGGGTTTGATTCCTGGCTGGGGAGCGTACTAGAGGCAACCAATCCACATTTCTCTCTCACATCAATATTTCCCTCTCTCCTTCCCTTCCTCTCTCTCCAAAATCAATAAACATATCCTTGGGTGAGGATTTTAAAAAAAAGGGCAGGGCTTTCCCAGGAGTTTTGCTACTGGGGAGAGAACATTCATGTATAATGTTTAACTGTCAACAAAAGCAGTAACCAAGGCCTTCTAGCATCAAACATCCTGAAAAATCCCTTTATTTACTTCCTCATTACTATTTGGTTATTGTTACTTAGACACAAGTAAATACTCAAGTAAAATACTGCTCTGCTGGCAGTTAGGTGTGCCAACCACCCCCCCAGATCAGCTGGTCCTGTCCACAGGCGAGGTATTGCATAAACTACCTGATTAAGTCCGACTGCATGTGAAAAGAATAGAAGGCTACTGGGATGAATATAGACGGTACATTTAGATTAGGAAAATAAGTGAGATGCTAGAAAATACATGGTAATAACATTTAAAACTGAGGAGGACTAGGAAGAGGGATAAAGAACCAGTAAGGAAATAGCCAAAAACCAAAGTCATTATCTTTGAGTAATTGAAGTCATTTTTCTCTCCCCTTTAATTCTCTGTGTTTTCAGAATTATTTGTGGGCAATAAAAATTACTCTTAAAACTTTATCAATCATTTTTAAAGACAGTGGTGGAGAGGCATTCAGGCTTTGGAAATTTAACTCTGAGTTAATAAAATTATTTTTACTGGGGAAAGGGTTGATCCTGATTATGAAAACTTAGGACCTGATATTTCTCCACATTTTGAGAAGCCAATAGGTTTCTCCACAACAAAGGCTCGCCCAGTTGCCAGTGGGCAGGTCTGGGAATGGGAGTTGCAGCACATGCAGACCAAAGAGCAATGCCATTTCTCGAAAGAAAAGGCGGGTTTGGAACCTCTGCCCTCTACAGTGCTGTGATCACTTTCAGAAGCTACAGTGCTAATTTAATAACGCTGTGTCTGCTCAGAAATGTTCTGTGGATTTCTTTCTGTTTTATTTTACACACACATGCACACATTTACAGAGAGGGGAAGGAAGGGAGAGAAAGATTAATGAGAGGAACGTCAATTGGTTGCCTCTCGTGCGTACCCCCAACTGGGGTCCTGGCCCACAACCCAGGGATGTGCCCTGACTAGCAATCGAACTGGTGACCCTTTCAGTTTACAGGACAACACCCAAACCCCTGGGCCACACCAGTCAGGGCTTCTGCAGATTTCTTAACAAGTGGGAAAACTTTGAAAACTAAAGGGGCACTAATTTATAAAATAAATTATTAAAATTCTAATATTGTGAAAATAAGGAATTTTTAAGCTAAGTAATATGGTTTTAATAAAACCAAAAAGTGTGACTCTAAAATAACGTGACTGTTTCTTCTGTTGCTCAGAGCTAATTCCACACGTTTCTGTGCCAACATCCACCCAGTGGACACGCAGGGTCTACCGTGTGGATGGTCCTGGGCCCTGCCTGGTGCTGGGGGAATGTGACCAGGCAGAGAGCCTGCAGCCGTCAGAGCCCCTGGTGTGTAAAGACAGACGGGTTCCAGCAGGGGGCAGAAATAAGAGGCCCACTCGCAGGGCACGGGCTAAGAGCTGTAGGATCAGAAAAGAAAGTGAGTGTCTTGTCACCTGAGGCATGATCAGGAACAGCTCTGCCTGGGCAGCGTTTGAACAAACCAGGAAGGCTATTCACTAACTAAGAGGAAATGGGGAGGATGATGTTGCGTCTGAGCAGGCGCCACCTAGTGGCGGGGTGTTTGTCGCAGCTGAGCGTAAAGTACGACTGGGGACAACACGCAGCTCACTGTGCCTGGAACAGAGTGTGGGAAACGGGACAAGAGGAAACCAGGAAAGACAAACTGGAGGCCAGCTGCAGGAAGCCTCACATGCCTGGCCTAGGGGAATAAGCATATATTTCAATTTCACAAGCTCCTTTCTCTCTGTTTCCTATTTTTCATGACGTGAATTCATTTCCCAGTAAGGAGCAACCAACTCAGTTGACACACAGAAAAAAGAAAGGCAGAATAGCTTGTCATCCATCAAAGTCACTCTGCTCTTGAAGGGGACAGGAGGGGTAGATTAGATCGAGAAATGACAGATTTATTAAGCATTTTAAAAGAAAATTCCTTCATCTACCCGTATTTGCATGAATGCTTATTAATTCAAGGTCTACATGAGGCATCCGTTTATTCCAAAAATTTACAATGCATAAGCTAACAAAATATTGTTTCCCTTTTTGATAAGATGACCTCGCTCCAATCCATACAACTCAATGTATTGAATAAACTGCCACTTCAAACATAGGTTAACTATTTCTACTGTATTCATTTCTGTGCGTACTGTTGAACCTGAATAAAGAACTACTAAATGAGAGAGCTACCTCAGTGAAAATTCCACTACAGGGACCCCTCACTTTCAGGCACAGAAGAAAGCTGGCACCATTGCCTGAAAACTGTATTTATCCCAAAGGTTTTCACAATTAAAACTTGAGGCCTGATACCTCAGAGGAAAACCCTTCACAAGCACGTTGAAACTCCTGGTGAAACAGCCCACGCCTTCAGCACTTAGAGCTCCCCAACCAGGAAACCGTCCTTCCCCTGCGCTGAGCCCGTGCCTCAGCTGAGGGTTTCTCCCGTATCTGAGGGTCTTCCTGCAGCTGCACTCAGGGGCCCCGAAAGGAGCCTCATCTCTGGGGTGAACCGTTGCTGCTATGCATCACTACAAACAGATCGGTCCACCCAATCATACCGGTCTCACACCCAGACCTATTGATGTGGTCCGGCCTGAAGATCTCTAAGTTTGAGACGTCAGGTTCAAAAGAAATTCGCCCCAATATGACAGTCCGAAGGATAAGATGCAGTTTGTTGAGAGGTTACTTTGAACAAGGGATACGGGCACCCAAAATACTTAAGTGTCTCTCTTCCCAGGAGCTGCCAAGCACCGGAGCACTTCGGGGATGTGGTCCTTCACTGAAGTCGGCTCGGGCCAGCTCCCCGAAGGGAACGACACCGCTCGCTGACCCGCAACCTCTTGAGACACGCCTTCTGCTCACTGAATTTGGACTCCGCAAGGAAGCACGACTTACAGAGATAAGAGGAAGACCACCGTTCCCTGCAGGTTAGCCAGCACGGCCAGGGTCCTCCAGGAGCGGATGAAGTACCCCAGCAGGGCGTACTGGGCGATGCCGACCGCGAAGAAGAGGCCGCCGATCGACCCTGGTTCGGGGAGAAGAGGCCTGTTACTGCAGAGGCACCGCCTGCGGACCATCCCCCACCACGTCCCAGAGCCGGTCCCTTCCCTTCAGAGTCAGTGGGGAAGCAAAGCCCACACACCCACAGAGCGTCCGATGATGCTCTCGAAGAAAAGACGGCAAACCAGTGGGAAAGGGGGAAGGTCAGATGAAGGACACCGACCACATGCGGTCAAGGTGGATTTGAAGGCTGTGATGACGAAACACTCTCTGTGCTGCACGTGGTAGTGCCATCTGCCTGATCCCGAGATGGGGGCTTGGAAACGTTTTTTGCAACATGACAATAAGGGTCTGAGGTCATGAGGCTTTATGGCAATAGTGGGACTTCATTTTGTCATGGATGCTGTCCCTGAAATCCTTATTTTAAATCACAACCTACCTCCCAATTCTCCTCCCTATTGCCCTTCCCCGCTTAATTTATCACCATCAGATGGGACACTTCATATTTGTGCTGTTCTTGTCTGTCTCTCCCAAGTAGAATATAATAAGCTCCATGAAGCATGACTTTCTGTCAGCACACTGATAGGAAAAAAATCAATCACAGGGTGGTTAAGAAACCCATATTTTTAAGAATAAATGCCAAGACAGGTATTGAATCCACTGGCTTGCCCAACACACTTGCAAATTCTACAGCTCTGTCTCACTTCCCAAATCTGCTACTATTGCTAATGGTACCAGAAATAGCTACTATTTATACAGTAGCTACTGTGTACTGAGCATTAAGCCTTTTACGTATGTTATCCTAGAACGCAGGGACCATTATTGGCCATCCACTGAGTAAGAACACAGCTCAGAAAGGTTAGGCGCTGCTGTCCGAGGACGTGGAGCTGTGTGTGGCTGGGCCAGGACTTGAACCCTGGTCGGTCTGACAGGAGGGACCGCATTCGCTCACTCCTCTCTCATACGGCCCTCCCAGGGAAAGGTGGGCTTCTGCGGGCAGCCCAGAACAATAGGCTCGAGTGATGCTGTTACGCACATTTTCTACAAACGCTCTGTAAAACAAAGGTTTGCTTTTACTCTTGGCCTTAGGTTATGGAGCTAAAACTGAAAATAATGGCATGTGCACTCTGCACCCCAGTGAGACAAAGGGGGAACCTAAGGGAGAGCTGACGTGAGGTCGTGTTCCCTGTCCAGAACTCCGAAGCAGAGCGTGTGGCCCAGTACGTAGGCGAGGGTGACTGGGAATGTAGGACAATCAACAGCTGCTCCAGGTTCGTTACGGCGCGTCAAGCAGCACCTGGCTCCCACGGACGAGGCCCTTTGTCGGTGCTCAGCATGCGTCTGCGCACTCACGCCCGCTGACCGCGGTGCGGGCGAAAGAACGGTGTGCCCAGGATGAGACCGTTCCAAACCCTCGTTCCGCCACGTGCTGCTGTGTGACTTCGGGCAAGTCACTAAATGTCTCTGAGCCTCAGGTTCCTCAGCAGTGAAACAGAAATAATAAAACCTACTTTGAAGGGCAGTTGTCTGTTTCAGACAAAATAATGCATGCCGTACAAATGTGCATTTGTCCTCCTGTGACATGGATATGGCCCCTCGTATCTAGTAACCCCTCCCTGAAGAAGAGCCACTTAAAAGCCTCCTGCAGTGAGTATCTATTACAAACTACTGTCCGCCTAGCACTGCTCCCTAATTCCAAGTACACCTCTTGTCTCTTCTGGGGAGCTGGTCCCCGCTTACTTCCTCCCAGGGGTTCACGTGGGGGCTGCCACTCAGAGCTCCCCTAGCTGCAGGCGTGACCCCAGCTGGGCAGTCAGAGCTGTTGCCCAGACTGGGAGATCTGAGAGCCGCTAGGTGCATCCCCGACTGAGCAGAGGAAGCTTCTCGGAAAGGGTGAGGACAGAGGTGGGAAGCACCTGACCTCCTGGCTCCAGGCGCCTCCAAGGCCCGGCTCTTCTGTGGTCTGGTCATGTCAGCCAAGTGATTTCCCTGCACCCCCAGGTGAACAGTGTCGCCTCTTGGTCACAACCGGTGAGACTTGGTGTCCTCTGGATATGAGGGACACGATGGCACGATTCAAAGGTTCTAGTCTGATGACCTTGAGAACTGCCGTGACATTACCGCAGACGGAGGTCCCAGAAGGGGATGGGGATCCTTCAGCTGGAAGAGAGCCTCCGTTTTGTTTGAGAGGCCGGTCGACACTCACAGCGAACGCCCAGCAAGCAGCAGCCTGAGGATGACAGGGGTACGCCGTAGAGACGGAGGAGAGGCAAGGCTCTGGGTCGTTTGGTTTAAACATTTAATTAAAAATGAGCATTTCAAATCACCGCTTTTGCGTGATTCTGGAGTACCAGAAGTGGTTTGGGGGCTGTTTATGGGTCTTCAGATATTCGTGCCTATTTTCCAGATTTCTTTTCTGCCTGTTCTGAGTTAATTTCAAGTCTGCCGATCCTGCTGGGTTTGTGGCAGGAAAAACCAAACTCCAGCTGGTGGAGAAAACAGTGCACAGTGACGACTTCATCTTTGTAAAGTGGCACCAACGCTCCGTCCAGTGTTCAAACGTGAGTCTTGAAGCTTCCTTGATTCCTCTTCCTCGTCCCCTCTCAGCTGATTCCTTCACGGGTCATGTTCCCACCCAAATCCAGCTCCAATGCACCCTCCCCGCTCCTCCTCCCACCCCACCTTGTGAGGTTTCGCTCTCCACCGCCAAGTTCCACGGGGCCAACCACAACGGGCTCCTGAATGGCCTGCCAGTTGCTACCCGTGCTCCTCTGCAATCCACTCTTCACAAACCTGCCGGAGGGGTCTTTCTGTGTGCACAGTGCTACCGCTCCCTTGTTTAACTCACCTGCTGGCTTGAACTCCGAGGAAGAAACAAATTCTCACTTAGCCTATCATGGGCTCTAAATCTTCCAGAACCTCCAACTTGCTCTCTCCCCACTCTTCCCCATTCCTCTCTACACTACACCACGGGCATCTTTGCAGGTCCTCAGAGCCGCTCATTCCTGCCTCAGGACCTTGGTTCTTGCCATTCCATCCTTCTAGAATGTTCTCTCAGAACTTCACACACCTAGGTCTTCCTCATCATTCATGTCTTAGATCAAACACCTGCGTCAAGGTTTTCTCCATTTATCCTATTTAATATAATTTTTGTGCTCCACAGTTACTGTCTAGTCCATTGTCATGTCTAATTTTCTTCACCATACTTAAAATTTTCTGAAATTACCTCAGGTCTGTTCTGCCTGTCCTGATTAAAACATAAACTCCATGAGAACAAGAACCTTCCCTCACCTACCCCACTGTGTCCACCCTTTTATCCCACGTGCCTGACACAGTAGAGTCTGGTCTGTGGGAGGGTCTGTGTAATAATCGAGTCTGGTGGAACAGAGAGGCAAAGGAAAGCTCCAAGGACACACAGCAATGTGTCAACTGTGGTGGCTTCCGGCTGGGGAGGACTACATGTGTTCTTTGTACTTGACTGTATTTCTTGATTTTATTTTACAGCGGACATCAATTCTTTTTGTTGTACGATAGTTATACAAGAGGAAAATAAGTACTATATTAACATGAAAATTTTCATAGCTGTAAGTATTTGATTTCTTAAGAAGGTGATCAGATGGTTGAAAAGAATACAGAATATGGCCTCAATGTTGAAACTAAAAAAAAAACAGTGAAGAAATGTTCCAATGAGTACTGTCTGTTGACTTGAACATATTGTAAAAGCCAGAAGATCCATGAGAGATGGGTTCATAAGATATGATAAGAAGGCTCTGAGAAAGGAGTTTCCAATATTTCCTGTCTGCACTGCTTTTCAGTTTAAGGTGAAAGCAGTGACCACCCTTCTGAGGAAATGGACATTCTCCCAATAATGTAGAGGCAGCCTGCGAGGGCGGGGGCGCGTTCCCCTCTGGGAGGCAGGCCCCAGGGGAGACTTTCTACCAAGAAATATCAATAAAATGACTCGCTCACGGTCAGACAGGACCAACTGGGAAAAGCAAATCTAGTAGTTGGACAGAGAGAACGTCACGTCCAAGTGCATTTGTAGGCTCCAGGGTTACACTGGTTCCCTGCAGTTTTCAGGAGCAGCTCACCACCTCCCCATGTGCATGGACTGAAGCAGTACCTGCGAGTGCCCAGTAGGCGGTGCCCACACATTCGTTCAGCAGGACAAAGGCCACCAGCGACATCCCTCCGTTCATCATGCCCACCAGGAAGCGGGTGATTGCAAAGAACTCATACGACGGGGAAAACCCATTTGCAATAGCAAATAAGATGTCAAGAGCAAAACCTAGAAAGAGAATAACAGTATTCAATAATCCAGAGACAAAACAGCTTTGGATGGAAGTAATACATTTTATTCATTCGTTTGTAAAATGAAATCTTGGTAAATGTAAATTTTCTGAGGGTTTGGTTTGTTTTTTTAAAAATATTTCTTTTAAAAGCTGTCAATAAAAACTGAGATTTTCTTTCTTTGTTACAAGGTGATTTCTGTCCATCATGCACATTTTTCAATTATGCGCAAAAATGCTGGAAATTTACAACATCCTGGCTCATACTCAGCTTGTCAAGAGAACCACGCTGAGTCCTGGAGAGCTCATCTGAAATGAGCCAACAACACAAGAAAGGAGGAAATGGATCTAGCAGGCCGTCTCAATCTTTGTTCTCCCTAGAAACAGGGCGTAAATTAAAATCTGGGGGTGCCGATGACACCAGCACCTCTGAAAGCTCACAGTGCAGCTGTCTGGCCGTCTCCAGAGATGCCAGAATCAACTCTGGCTGCCATCCGGCCTCTTAGCTGTGTCGTAAAACCCAGCTCTGTGTCGACATGGCAATTCCCCAAGAACCGGAAGGAAAGGGTCCCCTTACCGCTTCCCCTGGGAAATCTGTCCCCTAATTCAGCTCCCGAACACGCGGACGGATTACCTGTGAGGTAGACCTTTTTCCTCCCGAAGCGATCCGAAAGCTGACCGAACAAGATCACTCCCACAAACACGCCACTGAAGAAAAAAGAGCTTGCTACGCTCACTTTGTACGATCTGTTGGCAATTAAGAACCACTAGAGGAAGGAAAGACCAAAGGGAGGCACTTAGGTCACTGAAAGGCTGGCTGGATGGAGTTAGCCCTTAAAAAACCACCTGTAACAAAACTTGTCCACCCAAACTTCTCTGCAGCATGACCCATGATTAACCAGAATTCCGCAGAGCACCCATCCTGGACCACACCCAAAAAGATCTTATCCCCATAAACACCAGAAATTGTTATTACTGAATGAGACCCCAGAGTACTCTGTACACATCATATCACAGCGCCAAGCACGGTGCACAGTGGCTAATCCCTCACGCATCTGTGTGTCCTTCAGGCTGAGCCCCTGCACTTCTAGAGCCCCAGCATTTGCGTTTCTCTGACCCTGAACACACCGCACAACGTACAGGAGGCAGTAAGTAAACGCCCCTTTTCTCCGATAGATGAATGGGTTTAAAATCCCTTAAGCACCTTTCTCAAAAAATTAACCAGTCGATGACCATATAGTCCAATAATTCCATGTCTTGGGTATACACACAGAAGAACTGAGAGCAGGGATTCGAGCAGATTATTTGTGCCCTAATGTTCGGAGCGGCATTACTCACCACGGGCAAAAGGTGGAACCAACCCAAGTGTCTATGGACAGAAGAACAGATAAGAAACTGTGGTGTATCCGTACAATGGAATACTATACAGCCTTAAAAAGGGAACAAGATTCTGGCAAGCTATGACATGGATACATCTTGAGGACACCATGAGAAGTAAAATAAGAACACTGTCAAACAAACCTGAAAAGAATCTGGAGGCTTTGCTAGAACTAAACGATGGAGATTACTTCACATAGCTAGGCAAGAGTCCACAAGTGTTCCAAAGAAGAAAGGTAAACGTTCTTATAGTAAAGAGTGTGTTTTTGAGAATTATGCATCCTGCGCTCTTAGCCTTAGGATTGGTCCAGGACGGGTACCAGTCAGCTGTCAGGCCGTCAGATGCCAGATGCCAGGGGGAAGTTTACATGAGTCCTTCGAGGGGCGGTCGGATGGTCTGGACACCTGGGTCCTCCAGCAGGTACATAGAGGGTGACCTGGGCACCCAGAGGTACATCCAGGCACAGACATATGACCAGAAAGTTTTAAAATGTTTAAGGTCCCAGGCTAGTCAGAACAAGAAGAGAGCCTTTCCTCACGTCTTAACCTTCATTGTGTGATTAGCTTTAGCAGCTTGGTACAGTGACCCTAGATCTCCACTCTCTTCACTCTTTCCTCGTACGAAAGGGACAAACATTGCATGATTCTGCTTCATGAATGTGTGAAAAGTACAAACAGGGGAAATGCCTTGCAAGTCTTGGTCCTCAAACCTTTGCAGCTGGAGGCAAAATAACCTGTGGACGGGGCCTAACGCTGCTTTGTGCCCCAAAGAGCTGTTGGTTGTGACTACAGACTGAAAACCAAAGTCGTTCCTCAGGGTTAGTTAGCATCACCAGGTTAGTTCACCGGCACCTGCGGAAACGCGTCATGAGCTCAGCAATACAGAAACTCCCTCTGTGTACTCATGCGACTGCTCCCCTTCCCCTCCTCAGGAATGCCCCTTGCCCTCGCCCCCAAGTGGAACACGGTTTGGGGTTCTTCCTGAATCAGTGCTTTGAGAACAGCAGTTATTTTGGATCTGAAATAAATGTTTGTTGCTTCTCACTTAAGGCCTTTCCTTTTTAGGTTCACAAGTGTGATGAGATTCAGGACAAGAAATGTGTATCTGGTCTGCACTCACTGTCCCTGGCACACAGCTCCGGAGGCCCTTGCGATTTCCTGCAGAAGAGCCATGGGGCATCCTTTGTTACCATGTTGAGTTTTGTTGCCAGCTCCTGGAAAAGCTTCGCAGCAATAAAAGTGACAGGGAGGTCTTGTTGTTTATACAAGCCCCTTCCCACCACGCCCGATTACGGTGATGGAGAGCCCGGTTGATGGAGGCCAGTTGCCAGGGGAACGAACCCCAGGACAGGAGAGTTGGAACTTTCAGCCCTGCCCTCTAGGTGTCCAGGGAGGGCAGAGGGCCTGGAGGTTGACTCGGTCGCCAATGACCAATATTGTAATCAATCACGCCTGTGTAATGAAGCCTCCATAAATGCCCAAGAGGGTGGGGTTCCGAGAGCTTCCAGGGTGGGGAGCAAGGGGAGGCGCTGGGGGGGGGGGTGGTGGGACGCCCAGGGGGGACATGGGGCTCTGTGCTCCTTCCCCACCCCCTGCCCTGTGCCCCTCTCCAGCTGTGTCTGAGCTATGTCCTTCCATAACAAACCCGTGCGCTGGTGGGTGACACGTTTTCCTGAGTTCTCTGGGCTGCCCACGCAGGTCAACCTAAAACATGGAGGAAACTGTAGGAGCCGCTGACTCCGCCGAGTCAGCCCATCACAGGCGCAGGTGGCACCTAGGACTTGAGACTGGCCTTTGGCGGGGGCGGCAGGAGCAGCCTTGTGGGGCTGAACCCTCACCCTGTGGGGTTTAATGTCCACTCCAGGCAGACAGGGCCCCAACTGAATGGAACGGTCAGATCCCCAGCTGGTGTGGCAGGAGAGCCTGCTGTGAAACACTCCCCCACACCCCAACACACACACACACACACACACACACACACACACACACACGGTTGGTGGTGTTGACCTCAGAAACGTCCAGACCTGTACAGAATTTCTGTGCATCTATTTGAGCCAAACTGACGACAATTGCTGGGAAGAAAAATCTCAATGGATTGAGGAAATGCTCCAGAAAATGGCAGTTTTACCGCTTGTTTTATGCATCAGAATCAAAGAGGGAGACACAAGGGGGCTACATGAAATTTACTGGTGGCAGGTTAGGGAGGCAGGAGAAAGCAAAGCGGGGAGGGGGGAATCCCTGGGACTGGATAAAAAATAGGAGGAACAGACACGCACATTTACATCGATGGGCATGGGATGGTTAACAATGAACAGTTAACATGATAACAGTAACAACAAGGGGCTCCTAGCCTGGTGCTCTGGGCAGGGGTTGTGCCCTGAGGGGTCTGGAGAAAGGACATTACCCTGACATTCCGAAGGAGGGTCACTGTAGAAGCAACAAGACTGACAGACAGACTGGTTAAGGTCACGATTGACCCTTGTCAAAGAAGATACTGGCCTAGAACAGATTACTCGCCATGACTCGATTTTAGTTGGGAACTTTTGAATGTCAGACCACCCTGTATGGTTGCTTCCAGTCTCTGAGCGTGGCAGGGCCCCGGGCAGGCCTCCCCAGAGTTTGTCGGGTGTGGTGCGCGGCCCCTCTCCATCCCCACCGGCCGGACGTGTCAGAAACGGAGGGTGTCCCTGTCCCTGGAGCTGTCAAACCAACCCACGGAGACAGGAAACTGAGCGGTGCTCCCCAGGGGCCAGGAGCACCGGGAGCTGCTGTGTGACAGGCACCGGGTTCAGTGTGGGGTGACGGGGAAGCGTGGAGACGGACGGCGGTGACAGTCGCACAACATGAGCGTGCCCAACGCCACCGCACGGTGTGCGCCCCTCGGGCACAATTTCCCGCCAGCGCACAGACCACAGAGCCCAACCTCGCCCATTGTTGCTTGCTCCCCAAACACCATCTCCATGTGCTGCGACTGCTCGTTGGTAACTATCCCGCACCCACCGATGTAAAAGCAGGTGCCTCTCCATTTTACTTTGCATCCAGTCCCGGAGACTTCCCCACCTCGCCTTCTCCCACCGCCCCAGTCTGCCACCTGGGAATTTCACGGAGGCCTCCTCAAGCATCCTCCTCTGATCCGACCGTATCAAGTCCACTGCAAAACTGCCATTCTCCAGGGCGTTTTCCCAGTCCACTGAGACCTTGCTTCCTGGCAATTGTTACCCGTCCGGCTGAGACAAACGCGTGATAATCCTCTGCAGGTTCGGATGTTTCTTACGTAGACAACCGCACACTGCAAGGTGATGAACGTGGTACGTTTTATGTTGTGGATCTGCTACCACAATAAAAACGTCCCTTGAGTGCTATTGCCTTCTACTTTAGGGAAACGTGCAAGCTTAAAGAGAAAGCAGCCCTCTGATCAAAGTGCCCTTATCTGGAGCCCTGGCTCGGGACGCAGTGAAGTGACCTCTGTTACACGGATGGACGTCCACCTGCGCCGGACGCTTGCCTCAGAGAACTAAGAGGACGCGCAGCCTTCCCCCTCCCAGCCCATTTCCCAGAATCAGCGAAGACGGGGCCATGAAAAGCCCCTTCTCCAACACCCGCAAGGAGGTCTCCTCTCTTCTCCCCTTTCAGGCCGCTCCTTTCCCATGGCGCTTTGACCACCCGTCTTTACGGCCCAAAGCCCCCAAAGCCGCTGAACTTCTCTCCTTCTCTCGCACGTCCCGTGAGACTGAACCGGCGAAGATCCTGGCCAGACAGCTCTGCACATCTGCGAGCAGCAGCAGCAGCAGCAGCAGCAGCAGCAGCAGGATCCGGGCACCGGACGACAAGCAGGGGCCGCGCCCCTCCCGGGTGCTGGGCTTTGCTGCTGACTTCTCCTGTCCTTCGAGTGCATTAACAAGCTTCATTAACTGGCTCTCTAGCCCTGCGCGGATCAGCAGTAGTGAGCTGGGGTGTCACTGCCCCTAGAAGTGGTGATCAGGAAGTTTCTGCTTTGGGTGGCAGACATCATTTCAGTGAGAGTGTGACGGATGTGGTAGGGCAAAAAAAAAAATGAACTACATCCCAGACATTTTGTTTCATTTAGGGATTCAATAAATATTTGATTAGTTTCTACGAGGGGTGAATGGCTGTTCTAAACACTGGGAATACAGATGTGAACGAGCTAGACATGGTCCCCGCTCGCATGCAGAGCAAGTGTCAGTGGAGTAAGAGAGACATTAAACACGTCGACACACAGGGAGAGAAGGGGAGGAAACCTCTCAAGAGGTATTCAGGGAAGGCTTCTCTGGGGAGGGGACATCTGTGGCTTGAATGACGGGAGAGCCATCAACCCTGAGAAGCTGTTCAGGGAACACGGGAATGAGGGCCACCGCCCCAGGGTGAAGAA